GTGAGTTATGGCAATTTTAGGTGACCACAGTAAGTAGCACTAAAGGAACCAGACAGTTCAGGATCAACAAATAAAACCAGCCTACAACAGACATCCAGGTATTTCATTTCTAGACTTTAAGGCAAATTCCAGGTTCTGCCTTGACTTTGATCAGTTTCATTTCTCCTCTAATTATGGAAATTCTAGAAGTCTCCGACACATGATTTAATGTCCAGGAATGGACTGTAAGGGGGTGGGATAGAAAGGACAGTGGTGTGGTGGGGGGAAGCTCATGCTTCTCAAGTTGTAGGAGTAGAGACCTTGTCCATCTTTCTCACCTGTAACTATCTTGGCCCCTAAAACTGTGCCTGGTAAAGGGAAGGTGCTCAGAGTAGATTAATTTACAGGTGTTCTATGTGCTTATGGGCTGTGCTGGATGCTGAAGAGGTGAACATTAGGCAGTGAACGGAAATGCAGAACAATAACAGTTCCCTTGGTCCGAGAAGAAAACACACCTGGAGCTCCGACCTTTAGGGCCCAGGCTCACACTGAGGGTGTGGTCTCAACATCGCTGGGGCAAAGCAACTGTAAATAATAATCTAGTTGGCAAACCATTGCTCATGGGCTAAGTTCAGCCAAGGGCTGTCTTTTATACAACCCAGGAGCTAAGAATTTTTTTACATTTGTAGAAGGTTATGACAGAATAAACATAAAACATGTGTCAGAAACCATATGTGGCCTCTAAATCTTTTTGCAAATAAAGTTTTCTTGCTCTTATTCTATGGAAATATCAAGAATGTCCTTCTGAAATTGCTGTTTTGATCATCTCTAATCTCCTGTTAGATCCACAGAGTGAATTTTTGTATCTTCTAATCCTATAATTTTGTGTTTTAGCTTCTCTTTTTTTAATCTGCTGAGATTTCTTATGTGTTTGCCATGTGTATAGCCTTATGTGTTTGAGCGTAGTTATATTAGCTGCTTTGAACTTTTTGCCTAATAATTCCAAAGTACGTGTCATCTTGGAGTCAGTTTCAATAACTGCTTTCTCTCTGGTATGGGTCTGTTTCTTTGTATGACTACTAATTTTCAATTGTATCCTGAACATTTTCAATCATACATAGTTTGAATTATCCAGCAGTCACATGCAAATAGTAAAAAGAAACATGAATTTAAATTTAATAATGTATTTTAGGACTGCAGCTGTAAACCCAGTGGTAGCTCACTTTTCTGGCAATTATGAGACCCTAGATTTGATCTCCCGCACCACACACACACACACAATTTGACTCAATGTATCAAAAACATAATTATTTTGGATGATTATGATTATAATCAATGTAACTGACCAGTCCCCCAAGTCAGACCCTCGCAACCAGAAGGCAAACCCCCCAAAGTGGATCCTCTACTGCATCCACAAGAGCAGTAAAAGAAAGCCATAGCCACCCCACTTAGCTACAAGAAAGCTGATTCTATGAAAAACCACAAGAGACCTGCTGTACCCACCCCTGCTCTATCAGCAGCCCCAGGCCCATCACCCATCAGACTCTAAAATTTTCCACCCTCTCCACCAGTTCCCCTGCCCCTACGAAACTCCCTCACATCAACCGCACACACCCTTCTCCCAGTACCAATAGTCTTTCGCCCTTGGCCCGACTGAACCCAGGTGGCAATAAACTTATTGCATGTTGTTCAGATTCTGCCTGCCTTGGTGGTCTCAATTGTGCCTTCGTCTGACCTTACAGTAGTCACATTCAAAATATTAGTATTGTATAATCCTAAATTACCTAATCTTAAAATATTACTGTTTATAATCTCTTTTCATGCAAATTTTTTGTTTTTTCACATTTATAGCACCTCTTGATTTGGACTAACCATCACCATACTAAGCACTACAGTGCTAGAATATCATTACAGAAAAATATGGAGCTTTTGTTTTAGCTGGAACAAAACTGGCCAGAATAAAACCCTGCTGCTTGTGCCGGGCAGCAGCACCAATCTCGGCTCAGTCCTTTCGCCCTGGGTGTGTTACACGGAGTCTCCCCCGTCTCATTCCTAGAGTATAAGCGCAATTTTGGAATGCTCCTGTGCAGCTCTCTTTTTCTTTTCCTCCTTGCTTTCCAGCTGCTATGTATGCCTCGAACATTCTCCTCTGATAGCTCAGCTAGGCGAGTATCTGTCAGAATCCATCAGTTTATCCACCTCTCAGATCCAGTGAGGGCCTCATTTGGTCAACAAGCTGTCAATATAGGAAATTCATTCGGGGCCATTCTCTTCTCCCGTTCATCTACTTGTCCAGTTTCTGGCTCCTCTCTGGTGTGTGTGGAACACGTGTGTGTGTGTGTGTCTGTGTGTGTGTGTATGTGTGTGGATTGTGTGTGTGCTCTGTGTGTTATGTTTCTGTGTGGTGTGTATTTTCTTGGGTTTGAACTTAGGGTCTTCATACCAAATTACATCCCCAAATCCTTTTTCTCTTTTATTTTGAGATAGGGTTTCGCTAAATTGCTAAGTTGCCTCGGGTAGGCTCAAACTCGCAATGTTTCTGCCTCAGCCTCCCAGAGTGCTAGGATTATAGGCCCGTGCCACTCTGCCAGAATCCTATTTTCCTTAAACAGTTGCTTTTTTTATATTTTCTCCAGTGTTATCATTGTAATATATAGAAGGGCTGGTCCCATGCAAGCTACTCCATCATTGCAGGACATGAAACCCTTGACTGACAGCTTTAAGCCTCATTCCATGGAGTTCTGCAAGAGAGCGTTGGCCCTTCTGCAAGAGGAGCAGAGGCTGAGAGAAATGGCCTCATTAAGGATGTGCCTCAAGTCAGCCACTGCACGCTCATTTCCCATTCATTTTATTTGGTTTCTTCCTATAATTTTAGAACGCTATAGATAGTGAAATAGTTTGAAAACGTAGCTGATTAGAAAACTTGCTTCTTGAGTGGCTCCCTAAGACATTTCTTTTTACTCTGCCGTGCTGCTGAGACCAGGTGACCTCTCCTCATGGGTCTCTTAACCTTCTGTCTATGGACTTCAGGAGGGCCCGGCCATGCTTGGTTTCAGGAGACACAGTGGGCTGCCTGACGGTTGAGTCTCCGTGCTGGCAAGTCCTCCCTCCTTTGGCCCTACCTGTGTGGCTGTCTGACTGTCTGACTGGCTGCAGTGTCTGAGGGGTGGCTGCTCATACCTAAGATACCCAAGAACATTCAGGCCTTCAGCATTAAGCAGCCTTTCATTCTCAGTCTTCCATGGAGCCTATACGATCAATGCAAGTCTTGTTTTCTTGCTCACCCTCTTACCTTCTCTCACTCAAACACATGTTAAGAGTTTGACAAAGCAGAGGGTTGACGCAAAAGCCCCAAACTGCGAAACTCCTACACCGGGCAAGTGGTACAAGTCGAGCTTAAGGAATCTAAACACTGCCATAGTAAAAGCCTAAACATGACACACAGAATCATAAAACAGAAACCATTCACCTCAACTCAAGGAAATGAGGGAGCCAAGGGACGACATCACACATCTACCAATGATATCAATGCATGGGCACCATTACCCTTGGCCACTCAGAGGCTAACATTATTTCCTTCTCCTCCAGGGGTTTCGGAGCACGATGGGTAGCAGCCTAAAATGTGCAATATGGCTTTTCTCTGCGAGATGTTATTAAATGTCACCTATAGCCTGCATTCCAGCTAGGATCGTGTATTTCCATCAGCGTTCTATCTTAGTAGGCAGAAATTTCACACAGTCATGTGGCACATAAAGGTGTTTTGGTCATTGATGAACCACATATACAACAGAGGTCCAATAAGATCACAACGGAGCTGAAAAATTCCTATCATCCAGTGACACTGCTGCCACTCTGCCATCACAGAGCAGCACATTACTCATGTGTGTGTGATGCTGGTGTAAACAACCCTACTATGCCATCAGCTGTAGGAAAGTATAGCAGTACAATTATATACAGTACATAGGACTTGATAATAAGTGACGGTGTTACTGGTTTATGTATTTTCCATACTATATTTGTTATCGCTAGAGTGTATTCTTCGTACTTATAAAAACATTTGTTCCAGTAAAGCATTATGCCCTGGTATACATACAAGCAACAGCAGTAAACATTTCTGTTTAGTGCATCACTTGACTGGATTAATTTTCTCTTGTGCTTGATTTGACCTCGGGTTGCATGGCTTGTCTGTCACGGCCCAGGCATAACAGATTATACCACAGAGGTACAGAATGATCAAAAACACAGTGAATGCTTCCATTTAAAATGCACTCCAGTAAAAGGCATGTTATCATTGATTCCCTTCACAATACTCTCTCTCTCCATGAACACACTTCTCCTACCACTCTTGCCACTTGCCAAAGCAGCTCCGGGAGCCCTCTTCTGTGAGTGTCGTTGTGAAGTGTGACGAAAGAAATGATGAACACTGCCGCTGAGTGCCATCCAATGGGAAGGCAGCCTTGTCAAAACAACGCAGCGTGTCCTCATTCCCTTTACACACCAGATCTGGAACCGTGTGGTTTCTGGCTCCTTCCAAAGTCAAAACACCGTGGAAGGCAGATATCCGAGTTGACTCAGAATATCGAGGCAGCAACTAAAGACACTCCTGAAAGAGTTGTTCCAGAACTGCTTCAGAAAGTGGCAGGGACGATGGGATGAGTGTCTCTGAGGCAACAGGGAGTATTCTGAGGGGAACTGTAACGTGCTTTCTACTGTAATACATTTCTAAAATTTAAATATCCGTTGTACCTTTAGTTCACACCACGTTACGGGCTGTACCATCTGGGTTTGTGTAACTACACACACTGATGTTCGCACCATGATGCAATTACCTAGTGACGCACTTCTCACAATGTGTTCCTGTCATAAAATAACGTGATTATTTTGAGCAAGGAGAAATCACTCAGTAACAGAACCTGGAAGACGGTAGGGCTGTGGAATTAACTGAGTACCACTATTCCCCCCATTCATGGCACCACTGCCCTAGACCTTGTGGGTCCAAGATGTAGAACACAGCTCCTTACCGTGACTGGCATGGGTGTGAGTTGCACCTTCGGACCTGGGGCTCAGGGCGGCTTGCTTGAGGACAGTCACTCTCGTTCACTAGAGTTGTAGTTTTGTTAACAATCCGGGTGCACGACACGATGGTTCTGCGTTCTCCTGGAAACCCAACCACAGGGAGCTGAGAAGCTGTGGCTGCACACACCTGAAAAGGCCATTCCTTCATACTTAATGGACAAGTGTCCAGGACCAACTACTGAGCAGTATGCTGAGAGGGAGAACTGTGTGTGACACGTTGGGGCAGCATGGGGCAGGAGAGATCCTATCTACAACAAGATGAGAAAGCAGTGACACCTCAGGTCAGCTGCGTCCTTGGACAATGTGGGATTCACTGAGGCCAAGATTCCGACTCAGGTCTTTCATTTCCAACGATTACCAATCCTCTGATCTGTTCGTCTGATATTTAAAGTCTTTGGAGATCTGGTCTCAATTAAATACCTGCACATCTGCATTACCATAGAATATGACTACTTAATACAGGATTGCTGCTTGCTGGGGAGAAGTGAGGAATAGGGCAGCTGGTATGAAAGATGCACAGACCTGTATCCCCTGGTAGGCCCCCCAGGCTCTGCAGCCTGGTGCCCAAGAGGACAGTATGGTTGCAGTCACAGGCATACGTATTGGCTGCTGGCTTGGAAGTTGGAAGGCCATGAGCACAGAGGGGCAGCTGAAGGCCTAGGGTAGTAATAGCAAACCCTTTAGAGCTCTCAAGGATAGTAAACAGCCTGCTGCAGTGTGCATACCATAGGTTTGCCACTACTGGCCTAGGCCAAAGGGAGTGTGTCAGAAAGAGGTACAGAGTGGAAAGATAACAGGGTTGACAGTGGATCCTGGAAACTATGCCAACTGCCAGGGGGCTGCTGGAGGAGAAGGCCAAGAACAAACAGTGGGGGGAGTTAGCTAAGGTGCATAGGGAGGAATTCACTGTTGACCCTGGCATGTCTGATGGGCTCGATCATGCCATGGCTGGATTTCCTTCCCATGCAGAGGGATGAGTCACTGAAATAGACACCAATTCTATGTTAGATGGTTGGCAACTGTCATCTCATCATCTCACCAGTCAACTGCTCCTCAGGACTGGGGATCGGTGGGGCTGTGCCCGGGTTCAACTCTGCAATCCCACAGTCTCAGCTGGCATCCAAAGTCCCAGCCAATTTTTTATCCTAAAGCCATGCCCATCAAACTACACTGTCCCAAGGAGCTGCCGGCTGAAAGCTTGAAATATGGCTTTCTACTGCTCCTTGCCAACAACTCAGTCCTGAAGGCCTTTGGCTCGTACTAATTCTTGCAGTATGCCTGTTTCTTTGACTCATCCTGCAATCTCCAGGACGTGACACAAGGGGTGAGCTCCTACTGAAGAGGTGAGGAAAGCCGCCACAGAGAAGGGCAAAGTCACGGAGTGAGGAATCATGCACTGAAGGCCCTGTCTGTGTGCTCTGCAGGCATTTTCCATGGGCTTGGCGAAGTTCTCGTGGAAACACAGGTTATATACTCCCCACACTCTGCGGATGGCCACAGAGGGCCCTGAGCTCCCTGCCTCCTCCTTCCCACTAGCCCGCCTGGTTGCTTGCCGCCTGGTTGCTCACCTCCTCCGCACTGCACACTACACCCTTCCCAGCTGCTGTGGGTCCAGAGGAACAAGGCATCCTGTGGCTTTGCAGGTTCACTTTGATTTTCAGCAGTGGAGTTCACAGGGATGGTGTACTCATAATGAATTTCATAATTCTGGTCATGAAATAACAGCACCTGGATCAGTGGAAAATTAGAAGACCACGTTGAGAAGGACCAAAAGTCCACAAAGCTGCTGACTGTGCAAATCAAGTTGCATTGTGGCTGCTTTTCTAGGGGGAATCGGCTCTTTTCTGGGTTCAAAAGGGTTCAACCTAGGGGTGCTCCTTTATCTCAGCTGTAGAGTCCTCAATTACCCAGTTAGGGTATGGGATGAATGCACACCGTCATTCGGGAGTTTTCTTTCTGACCCCCAAGAGGGCCAGATCACGAGGAGTTTGGGGTATAACAAGTGTGTGGGCTCCTGGTGGCACTTTTCCTGGAGAGCTGCTCCATATGGAAAAAAGTGCACAATCCTACACACCCTTGGAGATGCACTTGCAGACAAGACAGACACAAATATAGCACTTTCACCCCGACAGGCATCTGAGCAAGCAGGGTTACTCTGCTCCGAAACTGCAGGCCCCTCAACCCCATCATCAGTCACTGCTGTCAGTTCCTCCCCGCCATGAGTCAGCCCTTGCAGCTGAGTAGTCCTGTGAAGTCCTAGTGAGTGCACACAACCCAGGGGGCTGTTCTGTCTGGCCTTGTAAGCCCGCCAGGTGCACCACTGGCTTTATTCCCTGTTCTGGTGCACTGCACACCCTCCCACCGGAGAACTAAGTGCCTGGAAGTGAATGATGTATCTTCAGGCTAAGCTTGAGGCCAGTGAGTGCTCCTGGGCTGAGTAGCCAGAGTACTGGATGAGGTGCAGCACACACATGCCTATCTAGTCTTGGGCGGGCCAGGTCAAAAGTGCGCCAGACAACACGAGCCATCTCTTCTTCCACCCTCTCTAAGAGGGCCGCCAATGCTGAGCTGGGGCTGGGGAGCAGAAGGGCTAAAAGCAGACCCAACTGCAAAGACATCTTCAACAAACAGACTTGCACTAATGTATCTGGAAAAGTGCCTCCAGTTTAAAAAAAATTAAGTCTTTAAAAAGAGACCTTTATTATCTCAGGGTGAGAACAAGGCTGACAGATGGAGAATCTATATGAAACCAATTTTATACAATTTTGTAGCCATGTATAATTTGTTTCGTTTTGTTTTTTTGGTTTTTTTTTTTGGTAGTGGGGATTGAAGTTGGGACTTTGTGCTTGCAAGGCAAATGGTGGAACCACTGAGCTAAATCCCCGGTGCCACGTAAAATCTGTGTGGCATGTTTGTAACTGGTTTCAAGTGCAGGTCCCCTCTCTTTCTGGGCTCCTCATTCCACAAACATGTAAACCAGTTTGGGGATAATGGTTTTGTATACAGAAGGGGCATTCCTAGTTTCTAGACTTAAAAACATGAGTGACAATCTTATTTCAAGAGAGGGAAAATGATTAATATTCAACAAGGGCTGAAACATCAGCCATGCAAGACTTGCTTTCTCTGAGCTTTATCACCTTCTGAATCACTCCAGGCTGTGTATTTGCTTTAATGGGCTGACAACCTGCTCAGTTTACAAAAGCTTTTGGTAAAGAAGGGAAACATTCAACTTGGCGGTTGTCAGAGAAAGCAAACTCACATGCTGAGCAGTGATGCTTCTGTGTGGATTTTTACCTTGTCTTCTGCCTTCACTCTTTGCCCTTCTATCGGCTCTTAGCTCAGAGGAAAACAACTGGTTCTAATGACTTTGACCAGGAAATAACTTTATCCTAGAAAAATGGCTTTGGCATAGGTTCTTGGTCCCAGAAATCTACTTGCACTGGATTTAGTGAGCGTAGTACTAGAGTGGCAGATTTCCACGGAAACTGGCTGGCTATGGCCTCATCAGAAACTGTAACAGAGGGCCAGGGATTTAGTTCAGTGGCACCGCACCTGTCTCACAAGTGCAAGGTCCTAGTTCGATCCCCATTACCAAGAAAGAAAAAGGAAAAAGAAAGAAACTGTAATGGGGTTAAACACACACACACACACACACACACACACACACACACAAGAAACCACCAGGGGCTAACACTTGTGCTGGGTGCTGGTGGTCATGGGCAGGGCTCCGGGAGACTCCCTGGGCTACAGTCAGGAAATTCTTTTGGTGTCTCTTAACCTTGAACAACTGCAGGGTGCCAGAGATCACAAATTAATGGGGGCCAACTGCAAGTAGAGACTGACAGGAACTGAGAACAAAGTGTGTTTTGTTGACAGGTGCACGAGCTGCCACAAATCTTGTTCTTTGGAAGGAGACAGGTAATCAATAATTATCAAGAATGAAGAGTTGTCTGAAGTTGGCCACGAGTTGTGTCTTAGAGTCTGAGAAAGAAACAGTGGGGTGACTTGCCCTGGAGATCTTTCTTAAGTTTAAAAAAGAAAGACATCCCATGTGCAAGTGGCCTGCATTGAGTTGCCCTGGAAACCCTACCTAGTCAGGCCCGACTACACAGCTTTCTGGAGATCTGGAAGTAAATGCACCCATACAGCCTGATTCTCCTTCCTGATTCCCACATGGGTCTCGCAAGCCGAATCTGGCAAATCTGTGTGGTGTCAGACTCTGAGTCAACAATTCATTCCGACAACATAACTTTACTACAGGGCGGGATGATGCATCACAGCAGCTGAGAGGAAAACAGACTTGAATAGAGCAGTCTGCTCAATGGTGCCAGCTCTGCTCGGGTGCCACTTATGTGGCACTTCCTTCTGAAGAAGACAGGAACTCCCCCGTGCAGAGGCAGAGGAGGCTTCGAGAGAATTCTGAAGCATGGGAGTGGAAGGGATTAGATAACTAAAAGAATCACGTCACAGAGATACACGCACACCCATGTTTACAGCAGCACAGTCTGTAATAGCTAAAACTTGGAAACAGCCCATCTGGCCATCCGTTGGAGAATGGATAAAGAAGATGTGGTTTTTCTATAAAATGGAATACTACTCAGTCATAAAGAATGAGAGATTAGAGTCATTCATAGGAAAATGGGTACATTTTGAGGATATACTCTTAAGTGAAATAAGTCACACACGTATAAATACCAAATAGTTTCTCTGGTGTGAATAAATTGTAATAGCACATAAAATCCTAATGAGATAACTGACATTGTGAAATGGGAAGAAAAGGGCTAAAAGTGCAGGGAAAGTGGGAAGGGTAGGGGAAAGGGAATAACGGCAAAAATATGAAAAAATGGAAATAAAGTGTTTGTAAAGGGGGAGAGGAAGAGGGGGTGAAGGGAGCACAGGGACAAGGGGAAAAAATGAGAATCAAGACCATCTGTCATGTAAAGGTACAAGATCTCAACAATGAATGTAACTGTACTGTATACGTAAAATGTACCAATAACCTTAATTAAAAAAAGACTATTTTAAAAGTCATCTTTACGTTACCAAAAGGAAAAACGAAAAAGAGTCAGGAAACAGTGTAAGCATCAGGCAGCCTTGTAGACCCCAGGGTCCCTGTTAGAAGTAATCCAAGCACACAAGCCCAGGGGTTACCATCAGATGCAGTGGAGTTTTGGTTGGTCCCTTGGCAGAAATCTTCTCCCACAGGCCCCGTCTCACATAGCGGACGGTTGTGCCTGCAATCTGGAACTCTCCAGGGAGCTCGATCTTCCAGTCGCTGTTGATGGATCTCTTACCGGAGTCTTTGAGAGCTGGCGAGGAGATAGAGCACTGGGAGTCAGAGGGTGAGGATGGGGCCGGGCTGTCCACAGAGGGACTCTGGGTGCCCTGCAGGGTCTCTCTCCTCTCCATGGGAGCGTGACGGGGCCTGAGTGCGAGGAGAGCTTTCTATGAGAACAAGCCCAGTCCACGAGAGCCAAGGGCTTCGGCTCACAGCACAGGGAGCTGTGGGAAGGGATGGTGGCACCTTCTTCCCTGGCTGCTGGTCTCAAAACCAATTCGTCAGTGCTTGTGCGGGAATGGCAGGGCAGGAGGGAGTCAACTGCGGCCCAATCACACTGCACTCAACTTGCCCAAGTAGAGGGTGTTTGTGCCTGAGAAATTAATTGTTTATTGTCTAAAGCTATAAAACAAGTTTTGCAGGATTAGCAAAACTCACCCACTCATTTAAAACTTTAAAAAAATGTGACCAGCATGTACTAACTGCACATTTAATGGGAATTCTGATATTTAATAAATGCATCCAGCATATACTGATCAAATGAAGCTTCCCTTTCTCCACTTCCTCCTCACTCCCCAAACTCTAGTAATCACTAGTCTACACTCAGGTCAGTGTTCTTTCCTAAAACGTCCATGCATGAAAGAGAACAGGACTTGTCTTTCTGTGTCTGGTTTATTTCACTTTATGTTCTCCAGTTCCATCTATTTTATGACAAATGACAGGAAAAAAATAAATAAATATGGCCAAACAATCTGAACAGATACTTCTCAAAAGAGGAAACACAAATAGCCAGTTAATATATGAACTAATGCTCATAAGAGCCACCAGGGAAATGCACCTCAAAACTATAAGTGAGAACCATTTCATCGCAGTAAGAATGGCCACCATTAAAAAAACCAAAAACCAAAAAGTGACAAATGCTGGCAAAGATGAGTATTACACGTTGTTGGTGAAAACACAAATCTTTAGTCATTATGAGGATCAGTATGGGGGCTTCTCAAAGGACTAAAGTAAATGGTAAGATCTAGCCATTCCGCCTCTGGGCGCATGTCCAAAGGACACGACGTCAGCACGCCAATGAGATACCCGCACGCTCACGTAGCCGCTCACGTGGAATCGGCCTCAGTACCGATCAAGGGGTGAGTGGATAATACAACTGTGGGGTCTGTGTACACAGTGAAGTGTCATTCGGATAAAACATGAAATCCTCCATTCATTTTAATATTCCCTACCCCAGGCTTTGGAAACTGGGCAGCCTAACGCCAACATCTCCTAAGGGCCCGGCACTCCTCCGGCTGCTAAAGTGGGTGCTCCCACTGGAAGCAGTTGTTATTCTGTGAAGTATTTATGTCTGGAAACCCGTGCTGCTCGGAGATGAGGCGGTGATGCTCAGCAACTGGTATAGCAGGGTAGAGTGGGGACCAAGTACGACAGACAGTTGCTCTCAGGCTCCAGCTGAGTGGGCTTTGGTTTCCCAGAACTGCTCCCTTATGCCTCTGCTCAGGACGGAACGTGGACGGACATGGAACTCACATACTGCCGATTGGCCACAAGCATCAAATTGCTTTTATCTTCTCATTTGGATTGAAATTCTACGTAGTTTTCTTAAGGGCAACACTCTGGAGTGAAACTGTTTTCTTGTCACTGTTATGCCGGAAAAATACCCTGCAATTAACTAGAACATATTCTAGTATTTAGGAGAAGGTGGCAAACAGCAAGAGGTGATAGTGTCTGTCCCTTTTCCAAAAGCCCCAGGACATCCTCTGATCTGTGCCCTCTCTCTGCAGGTTCAGCTGGAGTCACCACTGCCCCACATTTCTTCAGGTCACTTTGGGACCCCACTCTCTACAAACAACAATATCCAGAGTCCACTCCACTCACCACCATCTGCTCAGGGAGGCCAGAAGCCAGATGTCCCCATCGAACATCACTGTGGATACTGGGAGTCAAAACCAAGGGGGGAGGGTTCAGCTGAAACTGGATTTATCAGTCTCAGGCTGCAGGGAAGATGGGGGCGGTTAGCATTGGCACCTCATCTCCAGAATGCTCTGGTCCTGGCAATCACAGGAGATGCAAACCGAAGGCTTCTCCATTACAGGAGCTGCCAGGAAAAATGGGCAGGGCTGCTTTCCAGTATAGCGATTCCCAGTTGGGGGTCCTACATAGGGTGGCTGTCGATAGTGAGTGGTTGACATTACAGGACTCCGGGGAAGGCTTAGGAAAGAGAGCACTCTACTACTTGGATCTGCATCTGTTTCTCTTCAAGAAATTCTACCTGCAATGGAAATTTCCTGCTTACTTAAAAGAGGTGAGAATGTGGGGAGACTCACAATTTCTTCTTTTTCTCTTCCAACTTCATCACCTGCGAACCGCTTTGTAAGGAACACATTTTCTGGATTAGCTTCTTGATATACTATTACTCATTTAATCTGCCCGATAACTCTCTGGGTTACTTTCCTCACTCAGATGAATAAATGGAGGCACAGAGAAATTAAGTAACTCTCCAAGAGACACGCAGCTATTAAGCTGTAGGAGTGGAGACCCGGACCTGATAGACCAAGCTTAATGCACTTACTGCTCTAGGAACGTTTAGTTTCTGTGTTCTTTAGGTTAGCGCATCAGTCTAGACTCTTACAACAATGCTAAAATGTGCAAATGAAAACCTATTCTCAGATTCTTATCATAGGTCTCATGTTCTACAGACCCTTATACAAATAATTAGCCTCATGGATTTCCACGGCGTCCAATAAGCTAAGCACCTGAAGTGTATTTGTTTATGTGAACGCTTGGTGGATCCAGGTGAAAGTTGCAGAGGTCTTGTCTTTCAACTCCTCTGTGAATATGGAAAACTGTTTCTTACATACGCAGCTGTACATTTGGTTTGAGGAATCGGTGCACGCTGCTGAGAAGCAGCAGGTAGGAAAAATGAGGAGGAAGAGTCCTCTAAGAAAACATGCAGGCTGGGCAAGGTGGCGCATGACTGTAACGCCAGGAACTTGGGAGGCTGAGGCAGGAGTATAACAAGTTCAAGCCCAGGCTGGGCAAGTCAGCAATACCCTGTGTCAAAGCAAATAATACAAAGGACCGAGGATGAAGCTCAGTGAATGCTTGTAAAGCAAGCATGAGGCCTCGAGTTCAATGCCCAGTATTGCAGAAACAGATGGAAGGGGAAGAGGGAAAGGAAGGAGCAAAGGGGAGAGAGGGAAGGGAAAGGAAGAAGGGAAGAAAAGGGTCTCAAAAGAACCAGCAGGGGACACCTACGGCACAGAAGCAATGCCCCTGCCAGCCCCTCACCCTAATTGTGACGGTGTCCTGGCAGGGCTGGCGACCCACGGTTCCTGCTGTCAGGAAGCTCAGTTTGTGAGGGAAACAGAGAACAGAGAAATACAATCAGTGTCACGCACTGTGACAGAGCTGGGTCCGGGTGGTATGGGCAGCAGGGGCAGAGGTGGCTGGGGTCAGTGTTTAGGAAGAAGCACCTATGAACTGAGCTGGTTAGAAAAGCAGAGAGAGGAGGTGGCCTGGGGGTGGGAGCCTGGCTCTCCACACTCGGGGACTATGGGGGCTATCGTCAAGGTCATCGTCCCTAGAGGGAGGTAGAGGAAGGAAAGCACAGGGCCCCGGGGGAGAAGCAAGTGAAAGGGGAAGGGGCAGCTGCCCAGAAGCACGGCTGGGAAGGAGGCAAGGGGTGGAGAGCAGCTGTAGGGGACAGGACAGCTGTCCTGGAGCTGGGCAGAAGACAGGAGGGCACGTGGAGAGGCCTGTGAGCGGGGCGTCTCCAGAGCTGGGTGCTGCCGTCCCACCCGGCCCACTCCACTGAGCGCACTGGCCACACAAAGACCACAGGGAAGCCGGGTGGCTGCCCACCCAAGACAGCAGCTGCCTGTCAGCCACATTCTTTGACCCTGACCTTCCCTGCCCTGGGCTCGAGCCGTGGGCTGAAAGTCACAGCCCTGAGTCATTCCTCTATTATGGCTATGTTGAGCACCTCGAGGGCCCGCTAACCAGCACGGTTCTCCCTCTACATGCCAGGGCACCTGGGGTCTCCCTCGGGGATGTTTTCTCTCCAGCCCTGTGAGGCCCCAACTGCACCCCAGCTCCGGACCTAGGTCTCACCCAACCCTGGTCACTTCACCATAGGCAGCAGCAGCTTGCCTTCATCAGGCTGCCCAGGGATTTGATGCAAGCCACTTCATGGGTAGCGGCCCCGGGAGAGGTCAGTGGTGCCAGGACAAACGGTTTGCTCACTTTGAGCTCCTGGATCCAGCAGCATCTGAGGGTGACGCTCAGCAACTGAGAAATGGGTCTGGCTTTCACATGGGCCTTTCGGAGGTTGGTTTTTATAAGATACTAATCATATGAGGGCAGAGTAGGTACAAAAGAAAAATCACTTCCAGGGATTCCTAGAAATCACCCCAGCTGCTCACAACATAAGCCTAGTACCTGTTGAGAAGTCGAAGGCTTGACAAACTCCGGTCATGCCTTAAACCCTCCCCTGAGTCATGCTGGCTAGTGCTCCCACACCATGGCTACTTCCCTGGCCCTTTTTGTAAGATGCTTTAAAGTGACTGGGTTATAAATGGTCAACTACACCTCTGTACGGCAAGTCAAACATCCGGAAGGTCACAAGTGGAAAGGGCTGGAAAGGGCAGGAGGGTGCACCCGGAGACCACTGGAGAAGCACCCGCAGGAGCCAGCCCAGAGGTCAGGGCTGGGAAAGCTTGGCTCCTGCCACGGGAGGCGTGGCTGCGGGGGAGACAGGACACAGTGGCAACCACGAGAGAAGAAGTGGAGGTGCAGCCAGGGTGGGCCCGGGCCGCACTCTCTGGTCACCCGAGCAGGGTGTTGCCGTCCACATAAGGGTGGTGGAAGAGACACTTCAGCAGGTGGCCTCAGTGTGCCACAGGCTGTGGAGGCATCGCCAGCTGTTGTCAGAGAACTACGGGAAGGGAGGTGAGAGAGGCAGGTTGTGGCTAAAGGGCTGAGGTCAGCTGCCAAATGGGGACGAGCATCCCGGACACGGGGTGACAGTTAGCCCGAGGACAGTACATGTTGCTACCCCAGGAATTAACTCCCTCACCAGCACAGAGTTCAAGGCATCCCCCGCCATTGTGAGCAGGAGTTGGGAAGAGATCTGTACTGTTGGCTCACACAGGCACCCATGAGTCCCGAAGATGTCTGGCTCTGGTTGGGAGGTGCTGTCTGCAGCTGCTGGGCTGGGGAAATCTCCTTTGTTTGGTGGTTGCAGGGATGGCGGTAACTGGTGGTTCCAGAAAGGAAGGATAAGCTCTGGGTTCCCAAGCATGGCTTAGGGCTCCCTCCCTGGCAGCTCAAGGTTTCAGGTACTCCAGATGCAGCCTTACAACTACCACTCAGCTCCACAGTGCAATCTCAGGGCAGAAGCTCCTGATCACACATTTCTCAGCCAAACAACACAGGCAGAATTAAAAGTAGGAGGTCAGCAGCTCCAAGAGGTGGGAGGTTTGCTGTCCTTTTTTACTTGCAGGGAGTAACAGCAAAACACATAATATGAGAGTTCCTACTGCAAAAACCAAGAATTTAGCACCTGAAATTCCTTCAAAAGGGTGAGACTTCAGAGTCTGTTGGGACACTGTAAGAGGTGAAAATACTTTTAATTGGTTCACATTTCATTACCCATTCTAATAAGTCCTTATTCTTAGACTTAGCCTGGTCATAGCAGACCAAGACACACAGACTGTAAGAAGACTTACACCAGGGATGAGTTCTAGGGTAAGAGATAATTGCTAAAGAAGTCTTCTGGAACCTGGGAAGCCAAAAGGCTAAAATAACTACAAAGAGAAATGAGGGGGTGTGCAGCAGGTGTGGGATGAAACAGATTCCCGGGGATGGAATGTGCACCCCAGATCCCAGGCCTTGGCGGGTAGGGGGAGGGCTTCCTGGGAGTTAGGAACAGAAACAGCCTCTCAACTGGTGTGTGCCTATCTGTGTACAGCGACCACCAAGAGTATGGATTTAAAGCCTCTGGAGTCCTCTGATTTCCTTTTTTTGGTTTGGAAGTAAATTCATTTCTTACAACAATAAGATCACATGTAATAGTGAACAAACAGGCTCACTGTGGGATTTGATGATACCTTGCATTTGGGGGTCTCTCACCTCCTGTTCCCATTAGCAGCAGCTGGGGCTGTTCTGCCTTTCGTGAGCTACACAGAGTCGGGTTCGTCAGAGCCCACGAGGCTGTGTGTGCCTTTTTCCTCAGATGTCCTCCATGTTAAATCAGTGTTAGGTTCTACAGTTTTTGCCCCTGTCCACTCTCAGGCATCCTAGGTATATTTAAGCCTCCTTTGCCTTAGGCATTTTGAGATCCATTAGTTTGCATGTGAAATTAGGATTCGGGGACCCAGACTATACTAAACAGAAGTGATCAAGATGATCACAAATGCTTTCGTTTCACAGGCAAATCACAGAGCTCTGAACAAAGGGAATTCCGCCGCCACCTGGTCTTACCTGTAACATCTGCAGGGCCGATTTGCTTTGCTGGGGAGGAGGTTCCCCCTGGCTGCTTTCACGGAGGCCAGGGGTTGGATGTTTTAAAGGACTGTTCACACACCGAAAAAAGTGCAGGCTCTTGTGGGGTTCTGCTCAGAAGCCTCTCACACTGCAGAGACTTGTGAGGCATTACAGGGGTGGGGGGTGCAGGGGCTCATACGTTTCCTCGAGATTAGGGCAGAGCAAAATCTCTACAGCGGCCCCGCATGCAAGGCCATGTGCTGAACATCTGTGTCTATCCAGGTCCTCCTCCTCCTTGCTTGTGGACATTTATACACCAGCCCTGGACTTGAAGGCACTACGAGGAAGGTGGTGAATCATTCCGGGGCGGGAGGCCATGGCATGCTGTGAGAGCTGGCTGGAGCAGCTGTGAGCTCGGAGCCTGCCCAGAGCCCTCCTCTGGCACGGAGCTGTGCAGAAGCTTGGTGGGTCTCTTTGCTGTCTCCCTCCTGGATTCAATAGGAAGACCTGAACCTCAGTCAACCTACTTCGAATCCTGGCATCGACTCAGCTCCTTTTATTTCCACTCGGAGTCCTGCCAGCTCTGTTCTTAACTATGGATACAAACTGCAGAGACATTTCCCATTCCAGGTGGTTTGGAGCAGAAAGCCAGCAGGCGTGGGCTGAAGGAAGGTGGGGTGAAATTCTTCAGGAACTGCTCCCAGCAAATGTGAGAGTTTTTCAGAGTCACACTGGGTTGACTTCCAAAGCACCCAGCCCCGAGTGGAAACCAGTGTGCCTGTAACTAATGGTAGGAACATGATGAGTGTGGACCACCATCGGGTGAGCACTCGTCTACGTGCCAGGCCCTGCATTACCAGGATTATGATTTCTGGGTAAGATAAGAGGACCCAGGCTGGTTCCAAACTCCCACAGAAGTACAGTGCTTCTGGGAAGTCCGGCTGTTCAGAGACCTTTAAACCAATCCCCCTTGGGATAGAGATCTGGTCTCTGCAGTAACCTTGGGAAGGCTTAATGTGTTTTCCAGTGAAGAATCTTCTCTACCAGCCAGTCTCTGGCCCCGATGGGACACCACGGGGCAATTCTGAGAGGCTCCACGGCCCACGGTGAATGCGGGTGATGTGAGGGCTTTGCATAAGTTCCTAAGCCTATGTGTAAACACTGCATGCATTACTAAGCCCACAGAGCTTCCACGGCTCCTGTGCAGCTCCACAGCAATGCTTTGGAGCGCCTTTGGGAATAGAAGGCATCTGGTCTCTAAAGTACAGCATGGCCCCGTGGTTAGGAGCCACAAAGGGGATATTACTGTTCGAGTTAGCTCATGTGGCCCTTAGGGTCCCACACAGACAGGCATTAAGATTGAGCTGTCCTAGGCAGCATCCACCAATCATTATCCGTTGACCCAAAAGAGAGTTCTGGTGAAAACTTCATTTTCACCTGAGAACTAAGGTAAGGATTTGATTCTACTATTTCCACAGAGAAGCAGAGAGAAAGAACACCTTCCTTTTTCCTCCAGGTCCCCAGGACTGGGATCAGGCAGAAGAGTGGCACTAGGAAGGCTCAGAAGCCAGGAGGGGAAGTCGGGGGACTTCTTTGTAGGGGCACCAGCTGGTGCTTGACAGTAGAACCAATAAGTTGCTCTTGGAATTGGGTGAGCTATTGGGATAAACGGATTATGATTTTTTAAATAAGAGTGAAAGGTGACTCCAGGCTCCCATGGAGGTCTACTGTCCCTTGGGAGTGGAAATACCATTCCCAGGTAAGAATGGTACATCCCCAGTGGACCAGTTGGGAAGGGTAATGTTTGGGATTACTCTAGGTGATGGGCGTCTAGTGCTAAGGCTAATAAAGTCAATCCTATTTCCTGGGCAGAAAGAGAAGGGATCTTTTGATAATCTAGTAAAAAGCTATCATTGCAAAGAAGCTGCTAAGGGAAGCACGCGACTGTTTCAGACGGCATTTATGAGCATTGTTGAATTTGTAGAGTGACAGCTGGGACAGAGACAAGAGAGTAACAAGAGAAGTGAGCTACACTTCCTTCCTTCCTTCTTGCCCTCCTCCCCTCCCTCCCTTTCCTTCATCTCAGACAGCACCTCGCAACACAGGCTGAGAGACTAGAATATAAAGGAAGCTCAGGAGTGGTGGGTACCGGTAGAGCACCCACCTCACCCAGGCCATGACCAGGGATTGGGGTTGGCAAAAGGACACAGAGCATAGCATTTCCATCTCAGTGAACCAAGGAAGAGGCAGCCCCAGGGAGTTTTTTCTTCTTTAGCCTGCATAGAGAATACTCATGAGTTCGACTCAGCCTCCCAAGCTCCCTGGTACTACAGCGCCAGGCTGACCTTGGTGGAGTCAGCAGCAAAGCTGGAACTTGAGCCTACAGTACATTCAGGGTCCTCTCTAGCTGACAAGGGGTTTCACTGGATGATTCTCCCACCAGGCTCTAACCACGGTTCCACCACGGAATCCAATTCCATAGAGAGATGTAGGTTTTTGTGCTTGAAGTCAGTGGGGTTGGTTAATAGAAATCTGGGGTACACGGAACTTAGTGAAAATCAGCATTGTTCTGCCTTTCCATTTGACTCAGGGCTGTTGCTCTCCTCCCAGCAAAGAGTCACCCCCAATGCCATCGACAACATGCAGGGGGTCCGTGCAATTTGGGCAAAGCACTGTAACGGCATGGGCTAAACTTGCACTGGGACCTCCTGGGTGATTCTGGGAAATGTACGCTGTCCCAGGGCTCACAGCTTCTCTTACTCTGCTATCATTTTTCTTCCTGTCCAAAGCTGACGGTTCTGATGGTTTGCACACTGTCCCTCAAATCTATCTTGGAGGTGGCTGCACTTAGCTGCATACAACCAGCACCATTTGGTCCATTCTGAGTACTATGTTATGACAATGGAAGTGGAGGTGCAAAACAGCTGACCTGGGAGAAAAGTGCAGGACAAGATTCACCAACCTAACTGTAAAAGTCAACTGTCAGAACATCAACTGTAAATCAGAACATTTTCATTTTACCCAGAAAACTGTGCGCTGGTTTATCTTCTACCACGCGGATCCTCCGAGCTCCAGCAGGAATAATAGCAGCTTCGATATAACCTGGGGCAACAAATGACATACAGGTAAACCATACCTCCATCCTGGATTAGGCCAACATGACATCCTCCCTCCCAAATCTCCCCTATCACACCAGCCATGGTAGATTCAGAGGCTGTAGGCTGGCACAGCTCGGAAAATACGGTTCGTCAACTGGGTCCCCATTTTCCTGAGAGTGCCATTTGCAAGTGCCCTAAGCTGAATCAAGACCCTCCTCCTTCCCTGAAATTTTTATGTTGAAATCTTAACGTCCAGTACCTGAGCGTGATATTTGGAAATAGCACCACTGAAGATGAAATTAGTTAAGATAAGGTCACAATGGACTTGGAGGAGCCCTTAAGCCAATATGACAGAAGACCTTTTACAAAGGGGAAATCTGAACACAGACATTTACACAGAACACCATGAGAACATGATGGTAGAGACTGCGGCATTGCTTTTCCAAGCCAAGAAACACTGAGCATTGGCAGCACACCACCGGAAGTTAAGAGAGAGGCACAGTACAGATTTTCCCTTGCAGTTTCAGAATGAGCCAGTACTGCTGACACCACAATCTCACTTTCCCAGCCTCCAGAGTGGTGAGACAATAGGATTCTGTTGTTTGTGCCACCCAGTTTGTGGCTCTTTGCTGCAATATTCCTAGCAAAGAAACACACCCCGGAATCCCACATGAATGGTATCCCCCAGATACATGGGTGAGGGGTCCATCTCATTCATCTGTTGGAGGTTCCTTCACTCTTTGCTGTAATTTGACTTTTCTCCAAAAACCTACGGAATGACAGCAGAAGCCAAGCAACGTGTCATAGGACAAAACTGTCGCCTCAACTGCAGGGCAGTTTCCTGTTTCCACTGTCTTCAGTCATTTCTGCAGCACTCATCGTGTATATTGCTGTGTGCTTCCTTCATTATTTCCAAGGAGTGGGGGAGCTGTCCACGCTTGGCAGGGCAAGGTGCCCAGGGCTTAACTATGTGGAGATTATGGAAAAATCTATTTTAAAGGCTTATTCATGTTTTGAATAATAAAAAGTCTATTTTTATTATGCAAATATTACACATTTCCAGTAACAGTTGGGTCACATCACATCACACTAAGAAAATAAGCAATATGTATATGAAATAATACTGTCTTTTGAAAGGATACTAGCACACACTCCATCCTGGCCATGTGACCACAGCTCAACTGCTCTGAGGTCTTGGTAGCGCCTGGGATATAAACAATACAATGATCTCATAAGAGGCACAAGAGCACTGGATTAAGTGCAATACCTCTTCATGATGCAAGCTCTTAATACTCAGGACAGAAGAGAACTCTCAACCCAACAAGTGACACCAGTCACAGTCTCACAGCAAACATCTCTTCAAAGGGAAGTACTGCTATGAAAGCTTAGTAGTACTGGAGAGAAAGAACATCCTTGCTTCATTTCTGATTACAATAGCAATGACTGGATTGCTCTGCATTTGATATCATGTGGGCTTACTTTATATGGGAGTAGAGAATGTGAAAAATCTCATCTACAACATTGTCCATAGTATAATCATATTAAGTAGTATATATTACTATATTAAGAGTTTTATTAGGAATGTAGATTAAGTTTCAGCATATTCTTTCAGTCTCTAAGTGCATGATTGTTTTCTCTTGCTTTCATAGCACAATTATGTTTTCTAATATTTTCTAATATCAAAACTTCATAGCTCTAGAATAAACCTCATGTAGCCATTATTTCTCATATGCTGCTGAATTGTTATATTTAGAATATTAATTATAGCTTTTACAGTATCATTTGTAAGAATGGTCTGCATCACTTTGTGTGTGCTTGTGGGTGTGTTGAATTGGGTTTTGATATTAGTATTACTCTTGTTTTAATAGAAAAAATTTCTCAGCTTCTGTAGTAATTTGTACTGATTTTCAATTTTACGTAGACCACAGTTGGGAATTTAACTCTTTCCATTTACTTCAAACTAGTTTTAAATTATTTAGTTTAAACTATAAACAAGTAAACTTATTTACACTTAACTTCCTGTATACTTTGACTTTTTATTATTTTACATATTTATATTTTCCTACCCTCTTTTGTTCAACAGATGAGTAAATAGCAGAGCTGCACACTACTTAGTTCATTTACCCTTTGCTAGGGCAGTTTCCACAGTTGCTCTCGTTTTAGCTCTAAGGATGGATTTAATGTTCATTTTGAGACCTGTGCCAGTTTTGCTAAAATTCTTGTTGCATTTTTTCCCTTTGAAACAGGCTGTGGAAATAGTAGTTCCTGATGTACAATATATAAGATATCACCACTCACTGTCTTCACATTTTAACGTCAGTTTGGCTGCTGTAAAACTCAGGGGTCTCGCCTACTTTCTCAGAGGCTATTGTAGAAGTTGCTCCACTTAACGTGACTGTGGAGAAATCTGAGGACAATCTGAGGTTTCCACATTATTGCTCCCTAAAATTTGTATGGGACACTCAAAGGATTTTCATTTTTAAAGTTTAACAGCTATGATATAGTGTTTTTGTGGGACATAGGCTTTATTGTCAGTACAGCCATCCCTCAGAATCTGTGGGGAATTGTTTTCAGATAGCACGATCTGCAGGTGTTTAAGTCACTTAAGAGAAAATGGCACAGCATTTGCTATAACCTACCTGTATCCTCTTATGTACTTTAAATCATCTCCATGATTTATAATAGTACTTAGTACAACGCAAATGCTATATGAATCATTACACTCTATTGTTTATGGACTACTGACCAGAAAAATATATTTTCAGGATGGGGATTTAGCTCAGTGGCACCACACCTGCCTCAGAAGTGGAAGGTCCTGAATTCAATCCCCTGTACTGAAGGAAAAAAAAAAAAAAAAAACAATGTATTTTCACATTTAGTACAGATACAATTTTTTAAATGGATATTTTCAATCTCCAGTTGGTTGACTCCGCAGACTCAGAACAAACACAGGGGACCAATTTCATATTTAATGTTTGAAGAATTATTTGTTGTTCTTTGGGAGGGGCATCAAATTATAGATGTTTGATCTCCTGCGTCTTCCATGGTCTTCATTTTATCTCGGATTCTTTTGACTTCTTTTTATTTTACTCTGTTCCTGTTTGAGAAGTCTGTCCTCTACTTCTACTGTGATTTCAACAGTGCCGATCTTCTATCCTTTCTCAAGGGCTTGGTTTTTGCAATGGATTCACACACTTCTTTCCTTCGTTGGGCTGTCATGTTTCAGCTCCCTCTGTCACCTTGCTGTATCACTGTATCTTCCTTAAGATCTTGTGTCTTAGCTGTGTGTTATTATTTTATTAAGGCTATTGTTGATTAATTGGGTTTTAGAACTGGTGACAAAAGTTTGGTCACAGTTTTTAGCTCTTCCTTGGTAACCTCTTGCTGGTGAGTATTTTTTTTTTTTAACCAGTCATTTGTTTTCCTTGTCCTTTTTATTCCTTTTGTTTTACAGTATACTTACCTAGATCTGGTGCTGGTTCTCTCAAAAATTTGAGGGGGACAAGAATTAATTGTATCAGTTACTGACAGGAAGTAGGCTTGGGTGGCAGGGAGGGACAGGATAGCACTGTGAGGCAACAGGATGTTTCCATGGTTTAGAGTAAGATTTGTCAGAATATAATTTTATGTATATCAGTGAGCTAATCTCATCTGGAAAGTTTGTGTATTTTAAATTTATACAAAATACATGAGCTTTTTCTCATGGCAAGAATATTAAGCATACAGAAAAATCTTGAATTTGCTTAATTACACTCCTCTCTGTTAGAAACAGTACTACAAGCCACGTATCAGTTATATTATTAATTTATGTATCTTACTATTTTGTGTTATTTCTACACAAATAAACACACCATGGGATACCTTACATTTTTCTATATTTTACATAAATGTTAGGAGTAGCAGTATAACTTAATATTGTACTATGTTACCCTCGTTATTTTTAAAACATGCTACATCTTGGAGATCATACATGTTATGTATGGTTCGACTAACTTTTTGTTTAAATTGCTGGGTAGTGTATGTAACTACTCCCTTGTTGGTTATTCACGTTGTTATCAAATGTTCATTACTAGAACAATAAATAGCATGTATAAATATGGACACAAAACAACTAAGCAAACTACTAACAAACTTAATTCACCAACAGAGAAAAAAATTATAGACTACAATAAAATATGATTGATCTCAGGAATGGAAGGTTAGTTTAATATATGAAAAATCAATCATTTTATTAAGAGACAAAACCCATAGTATCTCATATGACAAAATAATTGACAAAATTCAACACCATGACATTAACAAAAACAAAAAATATTAGAACCAGAAGGGAATATCCTCATCCTAATAAAGACCATCTACAAAAAACCCATAGCTAATACCATACTTAATGGTGAAATACTGAATCCTCTTTCCTTACAACCCAAAACAAGAAAAGGATGTCTTGCTACTTCTGTAGTAACACTATGGACTTAATAACCAAATTCAGTAGAGTAGCTGAATACAAGGCAACACACAAAACTCAATAGCTTTCCTGTAAACACACAACAGACTCACTGAAACAGAAACTGGAGAAACAACTACCTTCACAATAGCATCCAAAAAAATGAAATGCCTAGGAATGAACCTAACAAAAGCAATTAAAGACCTCTATTCTGAAAACTTCAGCCCTCTGAAAAAATAGATCAAAGAGAGTATCAGAAAATGGAAAGACATCCCTTACTTCTGGATAGGATGGACCAATACAGTGAAAATGACCATACTTCCAAAATTGCTATATAGATTCAATGAAATCCCAATTGAAATTCCAGCAGCATACTTCACAGACCTTGAGAAAGCAATTCAAAAATTCATTTGGAACAAGAAGAGACCTAGAATAGCAAAAGCAATTCTAGGCAATAAAGACAGAGTAGGGTATTACAATCTGCAACCTGAAACAATACTACAAAGCTACTGTGATAAAAACAGCATGGTACTGGCAAAGAAACAGACCCAAGGATCAGTGGA